GTTCCCTTGACCCTGCCAACACCTCTTTAGTCATTTTACTAAATCCCTTTGAGTGAAACCCATTTCTTGTTCTGTTTCCTGCTTAGATGGTAAATGATACAGTAATTGTTACCAGAGGGAGACCCAAGAACAGCCCCTCAAAATGATATGCAAGGAATGAGTTACTCACATACTTGATGATCACATGGAAAATGTACTTTCCAGGGCAAAATGGAACATTATTATAATGTAGCACAGAGTGGCATCTTGATTAATACATATTACCACCACTGTGTGTAGGATGGTGGGCAGTGGAGGGCAAGATGCTATGGTGAGAGAGACTATAGGGTGGGCTGCTTGTTTTAAAATCCCAGCACTATCACTTACTAGCTGCATTACTTTGTTTTGTTTTATTTTGTTTATTTCAAAATATTATGGGGGTACAAATGCTTTGGTCTCATAAATTGCTTTTGCAAAGCCCAAATCAAAGCTACAAGCATGCCCATAATCCCAGATAGTGTGCACCACACCCATTAGGTGTGAATTTACCCATCCCCTCCTCCCCACTCCCACCTGCCCAATCCCCAATGAGTGTTACTTCTTTGTGTGCATGTAAGTGTTGATCAATTAGTACCAATTTAATGATGAGTACATGTGGTGTTTGTTTTTCCATTCTTATGACACTTCACTTAGAAGAATGGGCTCCAGCTCCATCCAGGATAATACACAAGATATTAGTTCACAATTTTTTTATAGCGAGTAGTACTCCATGGTATACATATACCACATTTTATTAATCCATTCATGTATTCATGTATTGATGGGCACTTGGGTTGTTTTCACCTGTTTGCAATTGTAAATTGTACTGCTATAAAAATTTAAATGCATAATGTCTTTTTTTTCTTTGGGTAAATACCCAGTAGTGGGATTGCTGGATCAAATGGTAGTTCTACTTTTTGTTCTCTGAGGTATCTCCATACTGTTTTCCATAGAGATTACACCAGTTTACAGTCCCACCAGCAGTGTATGAGCGTTCGTTCCTATCTCTCCACATCCACATCAACATTTATTGTTTTGGGAATTTTTGATAAAAGCCATTCTCACTAGAGTTAAGTGATATCTCATTGTGGTTTTGATTTGCATTTCCCTGGTGATTGGAAATGTTGAGTATTTTTTCATATGTTTGTTGTCCATTCTTTTATCTTCTTTTGAAAAGTTTCTGTTCATGTTCTTTGCCTCTTTTTAATGGAGTTGTTTGATTTGTTTTCTTGCTGATTTTCCTGAGTTCTTTATAGATTCTGATTAGTCCTGATGAAGGACTAATAACCAGAATCTATTAGTCCTTTATCAGGACTAATAACCAGAATCTACAAAGAACTCAAGAAAATCAGTTGTATAGCATGCAAATCAGATGTATAACATGCAAATTATTTTCTCCCATTGTGTAGGTTGTCTATGCTGTGTTACTTTAGACAATCACTTTACCTCTCTTGTCTCAGTTTCCTTAGTTAATATAATAATAGTGACCTATCTTGAAGGGTGTTTATGAAGATTAAAATTGTCAGTATGTAAATAGCACTTAGAATAGTGCTGAGCTCCTAGTAAGCATTACATAGGTGTTAGCCAATATCAATTGCACTATTTGTATGTAACTCATACTAATTCCTTTGTGTCCTCAGCTTTTTTTTTTTTTTGGTGGAAACTCCTCACACCCTCCTCAGACTTTTCTGCAAGTTGCAACCAACCAAAAAATCTAAAGCTCAACCTATAATGCCTATTTATTCCACTTTAGGTACATTTTCCTCATTATACTGTCATTAGAATAAAGAAAGAGTTCAGACTGGATTTTCCAGATCACCTTGACTGGAGCTAAAATACAAAGTCTGGGTATTTTCTGGGGGATTCCAGGAAAGGAAGATAGAAGAGATACCTACTGTATTAGACTTGACTCTAGGAGAGAGGGGGTTGAGGGGATGAAAGGGAGGGAGGGAAGAAAAAAAGGAAAACGGAAGGAAACTGAAAACAAGGGAAGTGGAGGGAAGACTATCCCTTGGGAATTTCTAGTCACAACTGCACTTACGGTATTTGGTGGCTGGAATTCACATAACTTTGCATGCCCTAAAATCTAATAAGTAAATTGTTTTTATTGGCTAAAATTATTTGTAACATTCCTTTCATTATTCTTTTAATATCTAGTATGATGTGTAGTAGTAATTCCTTCTTCAATCATCGTTTTGATTCTTTGTATTTTTGTCTTTTCCCTTGGTAGGTCTTACTAGGGCTTTATTAATTTTATTAATCTTTCCAAAACGTCTTTAAGATGTGTTGATTTTCTCTCTTGTTTCTGTTTTCTATTTTATTAATTCTGCTCTTGCCTTCATTAATTACTTATTCTTGTTTATCTTGGGCTTAATTTAATCTTATTTTCCTAAATTCTTAATCTGTCAACTTAGATAATTGACTTTGAATCAGAACTGAATTATTCATGGAACAGCAAAACAGATACTCACCATCTGTGGGTAAAAAATACCCACAGTTAAAGCTCACAGCTCTTTATTCTTTTCTAATATAAACAAATAAAGGTAAAAATTCCCTCTATTTCTCTTTAGCTGCATGCCACAGCTTTTGCTATATGTCATTATCAATAAATTTGAAATATTTTCTAACTTTCCCTGTAATTTCTTATTTCATCTGTGGGTTATTCAGATGTGCTCTGTTTAGACTCCAAGTATTTAGAGTGTTTCATGCTGTCTTCTTATTATTGATTTCCAATTTAATTCTGTGTTGGTAAAAGAATATATTCTTTTTTTAAAAGTAAGACTTTATTCAAATAGACAGACAAAAGTAAAAGTGAAACAAGTAGTGAAAGAACAGGCAAATTAGCACTAAAAAATATTTACCAAATATACTACAAATCAAAAAGTTCTAATTACATTACACAAAGACGTAGCACCAATGGCAAAGATAAATCCTAGGCTAAAAAAATTAATTTGCCAACAAAAACCCTATAAAACCAGTCAGTGGTCAAATTGTTGATTCATGTGGCAGCAAATGTGAAGGACAAATAGAAGTTGTACACAAAAGGCTGGGCTTGGTGTCTTACACCTATAATCCTAGCACTTTGGGAGGCCTAGGCAGGAGAAAAGGAAGGTAAAGATTATTAGTTAGAGAAAAAGGAATTGGACAAGGACAAGTTAAAGCTTGATGTAGGGATAGGAACATGTTTCATTAAGAGATCCAGGGAATACTCCAAGCTCAAAATCATTAGGAATGATAACTGAAATTGAAAGCAATCCATTAATAAATTGATGCGGTAATTATTCTTGCATTGCCAAAGCACCTAGATCAGTTTAGCATGCTGTGCACACAAAGTGACAAGAATCGTAGCTCTCTGCAAACTGAAGGACATGCTGCCTCTGTATCTCCAAAGCCTATAAATGCAGTGGAGCCAGATAGAAACAGACGCAATTCCAAAGTAACTTTGGTTCTCCAAATTAGAAATAGGCAAAAAGCATGGAAAGGTGGCTCCAAAGATCAGCAAAATATACTGAGTCATCTTCAGTTCCAAGTATAAACGCTGCTCTATTTCAGGAAAAGATGAGGGAATCCAGCTCACCTTTCATTTTCCTCTTGACAGCCTAAAGGGAATTCTGTCTGCTATTAATAGAAAATCCCTGCACAATGAACTACACAGTCCTACAATCACAGCACAGAGGCGGTGACTTCCACAGTAAACTCACACGAACATAATTCTCAGCTATGAACACATAAAAATAAGAATCTACAAATAATTGAGAACTTGCATCATGAAAAAGACAGACCACAGTAAACAAGAAAAAACCCTTAGAGAAAAGATTGAATGCAGACAAAATGCTTATAAATATGTAAAATGCTTATAAAATATTTTATAAATGTCCTTTTTAATGCATATTTGAGTTTGCACAGAACTAAAGTAATATAAGTCACAATGAAAGGTAAGAAAAGGTTACCACAAACAGCCAGTGCTAACTAACATTTAGATGAATGGCTATGCAGTGTAAATATTGGAATATTTGCATAATATTAGTAAATGTTTAGCCTAGGTGATCAAGGAAGACAGAGAAGGCACTAATAAATAATGATAGGAATAAAATAGGAGTAGACTGCAGACACAGTAGAAAATAAAATGCAATAATGAAATAATATAAAAAATTTTCTGATAATATATTTAAATGAGAGTAAAATAAAGACATTTTTAGACAAACAAAAACTGCAAACCTTTATAAAAAGAAATTCTAAAAGAAATACTTCAGGCAGAAATAGACATATCCTACTTGGAAGATCTAAGATAAAAAACATACTTTTTAGGCTATGATTCATCTATAAACAAGAAAAATTCTCAAAAATATAGTGGCTTAATCGAGACACAATTTTATTTCTGGCTCAGGTTCAAGATAAGGTTGTTGGCGCAGAGAGTGTCAGGAACACAGGCTCTTCCATGTTATTGCTCTGTGATCTTCAACTCACTTTTGCGTCTTGGGCTCCAAGAAAGCGGCTTCAGATCCCACCATCGTATCCACACTGCAAATGTCAGCAAGTGGTGTCAATGAAAAGAGAGAGCAAACTATTTCCTTTGATAGCCTAGCACATGAAGTACCTCTAAGGTCAAGGAAGTTGACCAGTACCTTTGATGCCACATAGCCGTGCTTCCCCCAGACAACTTGCCAGAGTTTAAGTCCTGGACCTGGAACCAAGCTGATGACAATGTGTAATTCCTCCTACAACAACGACTCACGCAACCCCTCCACATGGTGCCAGCCAATTTAAAGGCATCATACTCAGTTTCTTGATCAGAAAACTATTCATTAGGAATAAAATTTACAAAATAAAGAGAAAGGAAAAAGACCAACGATTCACTCCACCCTTTCCACCAGTATGTAATCCAAACATAGGATATTCTCATCACCTGTGCATTTTGTCTCAAGGGAGCAACAACTTGACTTCTTTCAGCACTGAACAAAATGTGTTACTTTCTAGGAACACAAAAGAGGAAAGCCAGATCTTAGGAAAAATCCAACAAACAGGATGCACTATATTAATTGTGACAGTCTTCTTGTAAGTTTTTACCCAGTTCCTATTAGCAGAAAGGCAAGATCTAATTGATGTCACTTCATATGCACTATTTCAGAAAGAGAAACTCATTTCTAACTGGCATAACTACTTCTACATTTGTTACAGCTACATTTACCAACATCAGAATCGAGTACATTTTACGGTTTTTAGTTGCTAATAATTATAAGGTTACTTTTGTTTTGTTAAATCGATAGTTATAAAACATACATATATTCAATACTTAGTCTTATGTCTTCTTTACCCTAAGCAAAAATATAAATAAATTAAAAAATACAAGCAGACACTTCTTAAAAGAAATCCTATACACATATATATTTCTTCCTTGAGAAAACAGATCATATCTTATTATTCCTAGGGTCTATTACAGTAACTGCACCACTTATGTTTGTTCTAAGTAAATAGGTAACATCATATTATAATGAAAGGTGGTTATATATACTGTGACCGTGTCAATTTCTTTGAAGAGACCATTGGGACACAGGATCCCAGTGATCTGCAGCTCACAGAAGCCACTTAGAGGTTTTGAAGATACTCTAACCTAAAATGAGGCAAAAGTTAGGACTTTCCCTTCTCATTCCAGATGATGTTGCCTGGTCCATCACTGGGCAGAGGAGGAATGATGACATAGCTAGAATTGTCCTCTCTTTCTCCTACTGCCAAGTCCCTCTGATACAAGGAGCAGGGAAATGATGGGATCGGGAGCAAAAGAAAGAATGAAGAAAACAGTCTCAAATCCAGCTATCCAGGCACATCCCAGGACTCTATGGAGCCAAGTGCCTGTGGGTATTCTTGGCTCTGGTATGACCTGCACTAGAAGGACTGTTTACTGTGAAATGGCCTCCATCCACATAATCTAGACCAGCCATTGGCAGTGTCCTTGGCATGAACCTCTGAAGAAAATAATTAGGATATGTTCAGATCAATCCTTTTGTGTAGAACACCCTAAGTACTCTCTGGCGGATCTGTTGAGTCTTCACCCCATAGACAAGAGGATTAAGTGCAGGTGGCAAAAGGAGATAGAGTGTTGCCAGAAGAACATGGATGTGATGGGGTACATGGTGGCCAAAGCGGTGAGTGAGGAAGGAGAACATTCCAGGGACATAAAACACTAGGATGACACAAACATGCGATCCGCATGTGCTAAAGGCCTTCAGTCGGGCCTCGCCCCCTGGTACCTTCAGCACTGCCTGCAGGATGTGGGCATAGGAAATGCCAATGGCCAGGATGTCTATCCCAACCACAAGCAGTGCCACAGCCAGCCCATAAGCTCGGTTCACTGTGGTTGCTGAGCAGGCCAGTTTCACCACAGCCATATGTTCACAATAGGCATGGCCTATGATAGGGGCCCGACAGAACGTAAGTCTTCGCAAGAGGAAGGGGAAGGGGAGGAGAAGGAGCAATCCCCGCAGCAGCACTGCCACTCCGATGCACCTGATGACCCCTGGATGCAGGACGATGGAATGGTGCAGAGGGTGACAAATGGCTACATAGCGATCCAGGGCCATGGCCACAAGTACCCCTGACTCCATGGAGGAGAATGCGTGGATGAAGAACATCTGGACCAGGCAGACAATGTACCCAATCTCATGGGCATGAACCAGGAGCACTGCAAAGGCTTTTGGAGCAGTGGAAGAGGCCAGAACCAGGTCTATGGCAGCTAGCATGGCCAGGAAGAGGTACATAGGTTGGTGCAAGGATGGGTCAGTCCAGATAATGAAGAGAATGGTGACATTGCCCACTAGAGCAAGGAGGTAAAGGACACCCAGAGGCAATGCTATCCAGTGCTGGCTTTCCTCTAAACCTGGAATACCTATCAGAAAGAAAGAAGGTTGGAGTAGCCTCCAGCTGGAATTGATAAATGCCATCATAAACTATTTGGAGACGAAAAAGGGAAAGAGAAACAAAGTCATGATTTTTCCATTCCTGGTACGTTATCACATTTTCCAGATCTGGCTACCATCTTCATGAGATGAATAAAGAGACTTAAACTGCAAACAAGGGAATAAAGTTAGATAGAAGGAAAAAGATCTCCTTTTCTGGTGGATCATTTTTTTACAGGTGAGGCATCCACATGTCTGAATTAGGATAGGTCTAGTTTTATTTAGACACATGAGTAAACATATGCTGCTTTTGGAGAGATGCTTAAACTCCACCATTCAATAACTTATATTTTGGAAATGGCAACTTCAAAGGATTCTCTTTATTAACCTCTTGCCATTGCTGAATACTATCAATCTGTTATTTTTGAAATTAATCTCCCTCAGTTTCCATGACATAGCACTCTACAGTTGTTCCTCCTGGAGCCCCAGTCCCACCATTTTCCCCATCTCATTATGTTGTTAATTTCAGGGTTCCAACCTCTCCTCTCTTCTCAATTCTGTACATCATCTCTGAATTGAGTCCATCTATTCCCATGGTTTTAAATATTTGTATACTTTAATTTCTACCAAATCTATATTTTTAAGTCAAATATCTTTCTGAAACATAAATCCATTTTTCCATTTGTTTCTTGAATATCTGTACCATGCACTCAACATATTCAACACTAAATTAATTCACATATCCTTCCCAAATCTGCTGTACTTACTTTTTGGCCATATTTTTGTGAATTACATCACTATCTACCTACCCAACCCAATCTAGAAACTTCAAAGCCATCCTTACTCATTAATTCTCATTCCTTTTACCTATTCACTAATTTGTAATGACTTTAATTTTAATCTTTCTTATATTCACTCCTTTCTCTCAACTCCCCGTTTCACTGCCTGAGTTCACCCTCCCAACTGCCCTCACCTGGATTGCTCATCACAACTCTCTGCCTTTGCTATAAACCCCCCTATAAATCCACTCTCAACTCTAAAGTCAAAGAGTTTTTCCCAAAATGTAGATGCTTTCATGGCACTTCTATAGTTAATCCTTCACCAAAATTAATGCATGGAATAGAATCATACTTTTTAAGACAGGCATAAAACTTTGTCAAAGTTTATTTTTTGTGTGTATTACTTTTATCACACAGCTAACATCTCCTATGTGTATGTTTTTCTTTAATTATTCCAACATTCTTGAAGTTATATGAGTACACCATTCTATTTTACATATGCTTTTTGTGTATTCTGTTTTACTCTTCTTTTGTCTGAACTGATCCTTCAAAATCAGAGTCCACTGTCTCTTGCCCCTCAAAAGGACTCATTGACTGTGTTGAGTCAATACTGATTATATTAGGAGCACTTTATTTTATTTTGTTTACCCATAATTTTCTGGTTTATCTTATTGTAGAAATTTTTCAGCGTCTTAATGGTTTGTTTTAAGAAAAAGCACCATATCTCATTAAACTTTATAATTGCAAGCTAACATATAATCATGGATGCTACATGTTTCTAAAATGGAACAAAGTGGATGTTTCAAAATGTAGTGGTATAAATACTAGTTCTGGAAGCAGACAGACTTTATTTAAATTCTGTTCATTTCATATTCTAGGAATAAACCTTGGCAGTCTACTTAAACTCTCAGTCTTGATTTCCTCATCTGGTAGTAGAATAAATAATATCAATCTTACAGGTTAATTATAAATATTAAGTAATATATATAAAATCTTGATATATAGGTTACTCTGTAAATTATAACTATCATTACTGTTAACATTAATAATTAAAGATGACTGTGTATGAGATAATAGGCCTCTTTCTTTTTTCTTTGTCCACAGGATTCTGCTTCTTTGTTTCAAATTTTTGATACATCTATCTCTCATCATGACATTATAACAATTCAGTGTCTCTAAGATGCTCACGTGAACATGAAACACCAAATAAAGGGATGCTGGTTTAATATCCTCCAAGAAAGTTACCCCTCAAGCATTAAAACAAAAAACTTATAACTGGATGTCTGTGTCTATACGTTTGTCTTAAAGGACAAGATGTAATCTGAAATATTTGTATTTTTCTCTGTTGGGGTGATAGTGCACATATCTATGCAAAGATAAAAAGATTCAAGAATAACTCAATTTTTATAAATTATGCATCTAATAAATCAATTAGAGTATCATTTTTATGAATCAATAATGATAATAATATTGCCCCACAACTCTGAATATGATGGCTATGAAGTCTGAAATGCCTGATGGTCACACAAATATATCTCCCAGACTGTTTTTCTTCCAGAGTCAATTGGAAATAACAGTCATGTTTTTCCTGAGACCTCCAGAGGAATCTCATAATCTTACAAAAATTAACTTTTCAGTACTTAATGTTCCACACAGTAGGAAAGTTTATTCTCTTCCTGAGCAACAGCCCTTTTGCCCATTTCTCATTTTTTGGCTGAGAAGTCAGAGAGCAGCTGTGCATTGCAGAAGACACCACGGCTACAACAGAAGAAGTGTCAGTGGAGCAGTGGGGCTGACACCAGACTGCAGAGGGTGAAGCAGAGCAGCAGAGGCACCTGTGCCTGAGGACAGCCTGCCTCTTCTTCCTGCTGTATGGCTTGTGAGCCTACAGCAAAAGCCCAAGCTGCTTATTAAGCATTAATTATTAAAGTAAACAAGAGGTCCCTCTGTGATTCTTCAAGGAAAAGCAGAAGGAATTTTATTCCCCAAAATGTAAAGGTGAAGTTGTATTTAGCTCTCTGACCAGGAAGCAGAGAGCAATTAGCTAAGAACTGCTGCTTTTCAACTCCTGCCTACTCATGTAAATTCAATCCAAGCAACCTATCTTCTGTGAAATTGTGCTGGGATTCTGTAAGGCAGCAGGGTAGGTCTCCTTTTCCTCTCTGTCATAATCCCTTTTTCACTTTCTAATTGCATTGATGACCTCAGGCTCTAAAACCCAGCAGTGAGTCAGTCCTTGAAGAGTAGGACTATGCCTTGTGTATTGAGACAGCCCCAGAGCTCCCAAAGCACCTGGAATCTAGCTGATACTCAGTAATGTTGCCTGAATAAATAAGCATCTATATGACCAGATGAAATAGTAAATAAGTATATGTGTGTCTTAAAGACTGGGAATTCTGGGAACTTGACAAGGCAGAGACTAAACTTAAGGGATAGGAATAATACAGCTGACATTATTTGAAGTGTGTATGAACTGATCTTAGAAGTCCCTCTCTTAAATGATGTTCTGGATGATTCATGGCAGAAAAGGCCCTACTGAACTTTTGTACCATAAGGTGATAATGATATATGTCAGAAATAAGGGGGTTCCTGCCAGGAGCAGTGACTCACACCTATAATCCTAGCGTTCAGGGAGGCTGATATGGGAGGATCGCTTGAGGTCAGGAATTCGAGGCCAGCCTGAGCAATAGTGAGACCCCATCTCTAATTAAAATAGAAAAATTAGCCATGTGTGGTTATGCATGCCTATAGTCCCTGCTACTTGGTAGGCTGAGGCAGGAGGATCACTTGAGCCCAGGAATTTGAGGTTGCTATGAGTTAGGCTGACACCACAGCAATCTAGCATGAGTGATAGTGAGATTCTGTCTCAAAGAAATAAATAAGAAAGAAAGAGAAGAAAAAAAGAAATAAGGGGGTTCCTGTGGTAACTAATGGTCACTTCTGCCACTGCCTTTAGCAGGCAGGGAGGCTCCTCAAGGGGTCGTGACCTGTCCCTCTCTCCTTAATCTCCTTAACAGTAGTCTGAACTCTATGGCAGTGGGGGAAAAGACAGACAAGAACTTAGACCAGGAGAGATTAGGGGAAGGCACAGAAATAGTGGGTCCATGATAACGACCTAATAAGAGAGGAAGATACAGAAATCAAGCACTCAAAGTTTCAGCACCAGAGAGCAAAGGTGAGACACACAGAAAATTAATAAAATAAGTGTGGCCCGGGGGCACTGTTCTCCTGCTCTCTGGGCTGCCTTTGAGGATCCACCCTTTCAAGTCTTGAGTCAGCCTTGAGGAAGAATCATAAACATGGAGAAAACTGGCCCAGGATAAAATTTCCAGACTCAGGAAAATTCCACCACAGCCCTCCCTGGTCAGCTCCAGGAACACCCTGAGCCCCCAGTTCAATCTCCACAATGACCTTCTTCCCTGGCCTGGGAGCAACAACAAGACAGAGGATATTTTACTCAGAAGGGCTGCATAGCAGTCTCTGAAAGCCAAAGAGAAAATCAAATGCATCACTCGAGTTCTGTGCAGCTATAATTTTCCAAAGATATAAAAAATGAGTACTAGCTCTGGCAAGACTTGCATAAAAGAGGTAAATCAGCTGTATCCACATACACTGTATATGATAGTGAGGATGCCAGTCTACGATCATGCTAAATGCCCCTGTGAATGCCTAAAGCTGACCAGGAGGGTTTAACAAGATTGGTAAGTATCTGTAAACTCACAGGGTAGCTTATAGCAATGTGCCCTCCCTTAATCTCTCTCAGTCTATGTTCTCATCTCTCCCTTTTCTACACTATCATGGAGTCCAGGCCACTGTTAAGAAAGAGATTATGGAGAGAGGGACAAGCCACAGCCTGACTGCCTGATGAGATCTAAATGGTACAAGCTAGGAGGAGAGAGTTAGTTTTGAGGAGTCAGATCCAGAGAAAACTACTCTGACTCAGGGAGTAATAAACATAAGACTACTAAGAGATGTCAGACCAGACTCAGAGACACACTAGCCAAGCCAAAAAAATAATTGCTGTCACAAGGGCAGTGAGAAGGGCAGAAGTCAGCTGTCAATGTTCCTGCCCCACCGTAAGCCCCAAACCTGATCTCATTTTGCACACCTGAATTCCTGTGCACCAACATGCTCCTGGTTCTTTCATCTTCACCCTGAGAGGAAAGTCCATTCTTGACCCTTCCCCAAGACATGGATGCTGACTATGAGCAAAACACTGGACAGGCAGGATGTTATTGCCAACTACCAGGTCCCAGTGGACTCACAGACACACCTGGACAGAGCCAAAGTTAGCCTTCAGATTGGCTGGAGACACACAGAGCCAAGGAAACAGCCCACAGGGATGGGTGGCTGGGCAAAGAGGCAGAGAGGGGCACCTGCACCTAACCAGGTGGCCCACATCTGCCCAGTGCTAGTTATTACCCCTGAGCCTGTACGTCCTCATAGTATGCTAGGAACCTCACACTCTGTCGACTGGGAAATTTCACATTGCTCTCTAAGCTTAGACTTCTCATTCTCACAGAACAATCTTGGACCCCCATGTAAATTCTTTAGTGGGCTCTCTGGTTCAATGTGCTCATGCCCCCAGATGCTAGCAGTGTTGGCATTGCAAGTTCAAAACTGAGTCACTGTCCTTTGGCTCAATAGAGAAGCCTCATCCAAGGTTACTTGTCCCTGTGCAGGGAAGCTCACAATCAAAGACTACTGATGCAAGAATACAAAGACCTGGCCCCTTTCTTCAATCTTAACACTGAAGGGTCATCCCAGCTCAGGAGGTCCCAACGGGCTAGCTGAGTTTTGGAGAACTCAATCTAAGACAAATGGTACCTCCCTCTTTGCTTCTCCTCTGTAACATTGTGATAGATCCCTGGACCTCAACCCCATTACCATGGCAAGTGTGAGATAAACAGGGCTTCTCAGACAGTCCATCCCAGAAAGTTCCCAACGAGATGGGCTGAGTCCTCCTCTCTCATATTTTCCCATCATAAGCAGATGCTTCCCTCGGTCCTGTCTCTGGCTAAAGCAGCTACCACTCCACACTCTCCTTGGGAACTATGCTTCAAGCACACTGTCCTTTCATTCATGCGGTCAACAAGTGTTTCATTCACAGCCAGTGGGAAGTCCCATTTATTCATTTATTCAATAAATATTAAATATCTACCAATTTCCAGTACTCCACTAGATGTTGGAAAAAACAAACAATATGATGTATATTAAGTACATGATCACAGAAATAACTAACAGTTATAAGTATTATAAATTAAAACTGTGTGTTTAAAGCATATAATAAAAGGACTTTCCCAGGCTGGGTAGTCCTAGAAACTCTCCCTAATTCAAGTTAGTGACCAGAAAAATTGGTTAGAAGTGAAGGGAGGTGTTACAGTAGACTGAGGGCATTAAATCCGTGAGGCAGGAAGGAAGGGAACCTGGCATTTTCAAAGACCTAAAAGAATTTTTAAGATTCAGAATCATAGTGTTCAGGAACTGACGAAAGCAGGAACCTGACCGTGCAGGGTCTTTTAGGCCATGTCAAAGGACCATAGAAAAACCACTAAGGATTTTAATCAGAGGATTGAGACATGATCAAAATCTCATTAACAAAATTTCATCCTGGGAGAATGGATAAGCAGGAGTTAAGCATAAAGAGTGGGAGACCTGTTGGGAAGCAGATACAGTGATCTCTAGAGAGGTTCAAGGATATGTCATGGGAATGGGAAGATGGGGTAGGGTCTTGGGGGATAAAAAAAATCAAGAATATGATAGGCCAGAGTGTTCCATGGGTCATCAACATGAACACTGTAGTCTCCCACCAGGATCATAGTTGGTAAAAAAAAAAAAAAAAATAGGGATTTTGACCATGCCATCATTTAATGAAGGAGAATAAAGAGGAGAGACAATAGTAACTGGGAGTGGTAGAGGATAATAAATGTGAATGGCCTAAACTCGAGGAAGCACCAGTCTGTGCTTGTTTGTTCATCTGTTTTTACAAATTTTATTTGGGGAAAAAGGACACTAAACTCAACACCAAGCCAAAGGTAGAAGAAGTATGAGAATATAAATCATCCCCACTTAGTAGGAAGTACATTTCATCAGATATAAAACAGGAATAATGACAGCACCAGCTTCATTTGCATTTTACAGTCATTAAATGAGAAAATGTATATGCAAAGTTTTTATTTCAAGGACTCAAAGTACCACGGAGCAAGAGCTGAACACACAGGAGCTGCTCTCATTATCAAGATTTGTCACTAATACAACATATTCAGAGTAGGATTCTTCAAAACTAGTTGGCCCAGAGCACTCAGAGATCTCTAAGCCCTCCCAGCGGCAAGTCTGCCTTATGACAGTAATCATGCTTTCCAGTGCCCCTGCACAGTGTCCAAATGCTGTCATTTGAAATCACAATATCTGAAAAGGCCAAGTGGAGGCAACATTAGTCATAATGATGATAGTAAGGACAGTAATGTTAATAGTGATTGTTACAGCAATGGTTTATTTCATTTCTTCAATGAAAGTATATTGAACGCCTACTATATTGGAAATTTATGTATTACTGTATTCAAAAACACACTATGTTAATGTGACTGATGAAGAAATATGCTGCTGGTGACACAATTCATTAAAAAATGGTATTTGTTTATTAAGCAAACATTCATGCAGAGTGTATATAATATGCCAAGAACTATGTCAATAATAAGATAGAAATCAGCATCTAGTAGGGATGGGGACAGACATCATTCAGGCAATCAAAAAACATATATGTAATTATAAATTATGACGAATAATGAAAGAAACATATATAGTGCTCTGACATCATGAAACAAGTGACTTGATGTAGTTAGAAGAATCTTCTCCAAGGAGGTGAGGCATATGAGTGGAAACAGGATAAGGACAGGGAAATGCATTCACATTAGAAGGAGCCCAGACAATCCTGGCTGGAGGGAGCATACACATTTGAAGAACTAAGGAAGGACATGTATGAGTAATAGGATTACATAATACTCAAACAACATACGTGTGTTTCAAGGATATACATGAATTTCAAGGATATGTAAATACAAAAGAACATTCCATAAACACATTAAAGTGATTGCCATGGTAGGAACTGGGAAGGGAATGGGCAAGAGAAAACAGAAAATAAAGAAACAGAACAAGAATTTTTATAACAATAATTTTTAGGTGTAATAAGCTTACAAGTACAATTAACTCAAGTCTCTGCACCTGAGACTAAAAACGAAGCAATAATACTTTAGGAGTCATAGAGGGTTATCCATTTGAGAAATAGACTGAAAAGTACATAAAATAAAGAAAACAAGTTTTATCTACAATTTTGGAGTCAGATGGAACATGAAAATTTTTAAGAATTTCTCTCACAAACTTGAACTCTAAATTATCTCTATAGTTTGCTACCCAGCTTTCTCTGCCGCCAAAGTTTCTTTGGTAAAGAGGCCACCCACTCCCACGGACTGGCTGTGCATGAGTCCCATGCTGGTGGGAAGCACTCCATTTTTTCATACATCCAAAAAAGGAATCCAGTTAATCTCTCCTGAACTCCTAATCACTTGAATCCAGGTCCATCAAAGTCCTAATTGTTTCTTAATTACCTCGTGTATTTATCTTATTAGCACAAAATAAACCATAAACGTTTTAAAGAAAAAAGGATATCAAAAAATCACCTGCTAATTGATCAGATGAGATACCCCAGTCCTTCTTGGTCTTCCATCTATACACCATAGGCCTCAAAAGGGATTTCCCAACACCCAGGATAACTTCATTTGCTTTCTCTTCACTGTCCTCACTAGGTAAACAACCTGGGCTGTGGTGTTTCCATCCTACGGGGAGGCCCCCTGGCCCTGAGGTCTAGCTGATAAGAACTATACTCAGGTGGGCTCAATCCACCTGGGGTTCAGAATAGTAAACAGTCGCTCCCGGATCTGCTTAGTCTTGATGCCATAGACGAGGGGATCCAGTGCAGGGGGGAAGAGCAAGTAGAGATTGGCAAGGATGACCTTGGCAGCAGAGGCTGTGGGTGGCCCAAAGCGCTGCATGACCACAGAAAGAAAGCCTGGTCCATAGAAGAAGAAGATGACACAGACATGGGCCATGCATGTGCTGCCTGCTTTAGCACGTGCCTCAGGTGAAGGAAAATGTGTCACAGTCCTCACAATCTGCCCATAGGAATAGGCAATAAAGGCCACATCCCCCACACCGAGAAAGACTGCCACAGCAAAGGCATAGAGGTTGTCCACAGTGGTGGCCCCACAGGCCAGCTTCACCACTGCCATGTGCTCACAGTAGGTATAGGCAATCGTGTGTGAGCCACAGTAGGAAAGCCGATGGGCCAGGCTTGGAAAGGAGACGGTCAACCCCACAGCTCGCAACACCACCAGGCCCCCAATCTTGGCAACAACAACAGGGGTAAGGATGGTTGCATAACGCAGTGGGTTACAGATGGCCACAAAGCGGTCCAGAGCCATGGCCACTAGCACCCCTGACTCCATGGCAGAGAATGCGTGAATGAAGAACATCTGGGAAAGACAAGAGTAAGAGCTGATGGCTGTAGCTCCAAACCAGAAAATGGCCAGCATCTTGGGCAGTGTGGAAAGGGAAAGGATCAGGTCAACAAAGGAGAGCATGGCAAGAAAGAAAAACATGGGCTGGTGAAGGCTATGTTCTGTCCGGATGAGAAAAAGCAGGACACTATTCCCAGTTAGTGCCAGGAAAAACATAAAGAAAAAGGGAAGTGAGATCCAAACGTGGGCAGCAGTCAATCCTGGGATGCCAGCCAAGAAGAAAGTATGTGGGAAGAGATGAGAACTATTGGAAAGAATCATGGTGATCATCTCACATGGAAAAATAAGGAGGTGCTGCACGGAAAAATAAGGAGGTGCTGCAAAGAAAGGAAGAATGGCAGGCAGGTGAAACTCAATGATGGCAGCCCAGGATATATGGTCTCACTAGCCCCATCACTACCACATCACTCTTCCCATAGTTCTCAGGAAAAAAGTGAAAAATAACTTTCAGTTTAGTCAGTATTTATGCAAGATCTTCAAACACAGAAGAGGCAAGTCAGTGGGAAATGCATTGAACAAGAAGTTCAGAAACCAGGATCCAGCATTAGCTATCCTACAGTATATGTGACCTGGGGCAATTCATATGACCAGATTTAAGTAGATGCCCAGGAATTGTTGTTTAATAAAATTCATTCCCATCAAGCTCGTATTCCCAAATTCTGGTGCTTAGATTTAATCAACACTGCCCTCAGATAGTCCTCTAGTCTTATCACATTAACTCTCTTCTGAAGCTGCCAATAATCCTAACATCTGGAAAACTCCTTAATTTGGAGACACCCCACTCTTCCACACATCACTTGACTATGAAGGTTACAGAATAATATAGGGTCCCTGATGACTCTAACATAGATCAGGCTCTTTGCACTATTCCCATCCATTTCACTTGCTTCTCTACCCAATATCTCAATGGCTGTCTGACTTCACCACTTCCTATTTCTCCCTCTCCTTCAAGGTGGTATTATACAGGGGTAGACAAAAAGTTCAGAGGTGTGGTAAGCTGGTGTAAACAGAAGCTCTTGGTAATAACCATAATGTGAAGGCCAAAGAATTCTGTGCCCTACTGACTTTCGGAGAAAAACTTGGCAGATGTTCCCTCTGGCTCTTCTTTTCAGGTTATCACATTAGAAGTGTACAACATTATTTATGTCCCTAACATGTATAATGTCCAATATCATCATTTTATAGGTCAGAAAACTGGAGTCTGGAAAGAAGCAAATGCTCTACACAGTGACAAAATCAGACCACAGCTCATAGCCAGTGACCCTCAAGCTAGGAAGATATCATCCTATCTCTGAGTTAGCAGTGGCTATTGCAGGGACAGGGAAGAAACCCCAGGGCCTGTCAGCCAAGGGAGTACAGAGGGATCAAATAAAGGACAGATAAGGAGTGATTTGGGGATTATGTGTCTTCCCAACACCCCCAGTACCTCAAGTTCCCCAATCCTCTCATGTGAAAGACAAACACAAAGACACAGAGATATCTGGGTATAGGGCCTGAGAGGGCTTTAGAATGTAAGAAAAGTGATTCCATTCTAGGCATAAAAGATGCAGCCAAGTTGATCTTACAGCCTTAATAACAGCAAGAAGAGGTCTCTAAACACGAAAGAAAGGAGCAGAAGTCAGCGGAACACAGTTCAAGAAAGAAGAAACAACAGATTTAAAACAGCCAAGAAGTTTTGTTTTTTCTCTCCAAGAGAACTATGTAATTATTGCCCATCTTCAGCCACAACTGCTGAGGAGACTATGTGATGACCACAGAAGGTGCTGGGGCTGTGAGGTGGGAAATATGAGTGGACCTATATTTCTGGTGTCATGAAATAAACTCCAGATCAGGAGCCAAGATCCTGGTTTGGGGTACTATTTCTGCCACATGTCTGCTGGGTGATCTTAATTAAGCAAAGCATCTAACCACTTTCAAGCCTTAGTTTCCTCACATGTAAAATGAGTATACTAAACTCTACCTCATGGCATCATTGTAAAAATCAAATGAGATAGAATATGAGAAAATTCTTTGTCAAATACTGAGAATATTATTGTTATTATTATTATCACTGAATTATAAGTAATAAACGGTGCAGTGGGAGCAGTCCAGTTGAGAACTATAGAAACTGTTGAAATTGAGAGACAATGCATTTGATTTGGCAAAGCCAGATAGATACATCCCATGGGTGGATTATGTGTAACAGTAAACTGGAACAACCCAGTCCAAAACACTACCTCCTCTCCCATGTTGCTTCCTCTTTCTTCTCAACACATATCATTTCCCTCAGCAACCCCAGAGAGTGGTGTTGAGAGGAGGGTGGAACATCTGCTTCAAATTATCCTGAAACTGACCATCTGTAAGCCCCTGTCTTCAGAAAACTCAAAGAAATAATTACACTTGATTTCCTAACTATCCCCTCAGGGCCCAGAAAGTGTCCCTCATTATGGTATATCTTTGTGCCCTAGGGAAAAGTCTGACCCAGTAAGCTCACCTGTTCTGCTTTCATCAGGGAAGTAGATAAAGGGATGCAATGGGTCCGGAAATAAGGATGAACCAGGAACTCAAGATTTAGGGGTCTTCATGTTTCCCTATGACTTACCCGGTGGGCTTCAAAGAGGAGCAGACTTCCAAATAGCTTACTGCTCATCCAGGACTAAAAGGATGTTACCTTGCTTTGGAGTAAGGAATTCTCTCATACTCAATCCCACCTTTGCCTATTTCATACAATACCAAAAATCCAGACACGCCCCTGACAGTATGCACAGTATTGCCTGTATTTATGATTTCCCCTACTGATATTGAAAGCATGCAATTCCATCCCAGACAGCCTATCAAATTGTCCAGATCTGGGAGGATTAGGGGTAAGTTAATGTGTTTGTAGCCTCTATTTATTTCTCTTCCTTGGGCCTACCCTTAGCCATTACTCACCAAAGAGCTGCATTGATTGACCTAGAGGGGGATGAGAAGTTAAACTACCAGTTAGGTCTCAAGAACAGGATATTTAACAGGCATCTTTTCAAGCATTGCCCATAGGGATCCAAGGTGAAGCTCTTACCACCTAGACACCAATTAGTACTTCTACTTCCTCTTCAAACAAAGTTCTAACAAGATATCTTCTCTTATTGGAGCTCCAGGGAACAGCCCCAGCAGGGAATATTTTGAACAGCATATTCCAGGATGCCTTGCCAAGAGGGGGCCAAGCCCCTGCAGCCAGGAACAAGGAGAAACTTCCTGTCATGGGGAATGGGACCATCTGGCTTTATGGCCCAGAAATATCTGATCCAGGGAGGGTAAGGAAGAAGGCAAGGAGATGAAGAAGGGTACCCCTAAGACCAGCACAGAACATTACCTAGAAGATTCCTACTGAGATAGGTGTCAACCATGAAAGGAAGAGTGAATTAATAAGTGGAAACCTTTAAGAGATAAAAGAACCTGGCCAGAGAATAAGGCTGGAAAAAAATGGCAAATTTTTTCTGCTCCTAGACTTGAAATGGTAGATACAAGGTTAGGCCAAGTCCTGGAGGTATTGCTAGCCATACGTTATCTGGCCACGGTGAAATTACCCAAAAACATTGGCTCTTCTTAACTGCTCTCCCTACATTTGACTCTCCTCTCAGCCATCCAAATCGCTCCTGAAAATAGTGTCTGATGAATATATAGGAGTATCCAAAAGTATGAAGGATTTGGACATTACATCGGGTAGAGAGGGATTGGAGAACTGAGTTTGTTCAGCTTATATGGGAGAAGACTTATGGCAGTATGCAGAATTGTTCATGGATTCTTCAAACCCAGGAAGAAATTCCTAGTGAGGGAAAAATTATTGGTTTTGTGAAGCCAAAGGAAAAAACAAGAACAAATGCACTAAAGTTTATATTACTAGCTCAGGACTCAGCCAGATTATGTGTCTTCAAAATGATAATTACCTATCTTGCAAGGGAATAGCACAGGGTTGGTTAGGAATGGTCAGCACCCAGAATCAGTCTATCCATTTGGGAGAGCCATGTTCTAAGGGTACCAACTCAGTTTCAGAGGGAGAGAGAAAATATAGCAGGTGTCATTTCAGGTAAAGGCAAGATTATAAACCCTAATGTGAAACACTCCGTTTTCTGACAGAGAAGCCAAGCTTGATCATAGTGAATTTAGACAGAGGATACTGCAATACCTCTGAGACAGCAGGAGATAAGTATTAGGAAGTAGCAAAACACCAGCCCAGAAACCCAGTGGAGAAGGAAGAATAATCAGGACAAGTAACGAGACCAATAAAAAGATCAGTCCAAGATGAACCAAGGAGATGGACAGCTAATTATAATAGGAACTGAGGTCCAGAAAATGAATAAAAGTCTTAGAATAGAGACATTAGATTAGTGTGAATATAACTTAAACTCTTAACCTTCACCTAAAGTCAAAATTGTGTAAAGCATCAAGAGATCAGGACAAGGTTGAAGCTCCAAATATAGTCAAGAGTCCTTGGATCAATAACATAAAACATTAGATTGTTGACTTCTGATCTTTCTGTCTTTTGGATATAGGCATTTATGGATATAAATTTTCCTCTCAGGACTGCTTTAGCTGTGTCCCACAGATTTTGATAACTTGTATCTTCTTTATCATTTAGTTCTCTTTTGATTTCCATCTTAATTTCCTCCTTGACCTGACAATCATTCAGCTTTAGGTTGTTTAGTTTCTGTGACTTTGTGTAGAGATGAGAGTTTCTGTTGGAGTCAATTTCTAATTTATTTCACTGTGGTCTAAGAAGATACATGGTATAATTTTTATTTTTTTTAAATTTGTTGAGACATGTGGCCTAGGATATGGTCAATCTTAGAGAATGACCCATGAGTTGATGAGAAAAATGTATATTCACTGGTTTGGGAGTAGATTATTCTGTAAATGTCTGCCAGGCCCATTTGGTCTAGAGTTCTGTTTAAGTCCATTGTTTCTTTGTTTATCTGTTTGGAGAATCTGTTTTGTTCTGTCAGAGGTGTGTTGAAGTCCCACTATTATGGTGTTGCTATTTATCATTTTGTTTAGATCAAGTAGGATTTGCTTTATGAATCTGGATGCAACTGAGTTAGGTGCATAAATATTTAGAAGTGTTATGTCTTCTTGATTAATTGTACCCTTCACCACTACATAGTGACCATCTTTGTCTTTCATGATTTTTGTTGATTTGAAGACTAAGTTATCGGAAATCACAACTGCTATGCTAGCTTTCTTTTGGTTTCCATTTGCATAGAATATTGTTTTCCTTCCCTTCACCTTGAGTCTGAGTGCATCCTTGTGGGTTAGATGTGTTTCCTGAAGACAGCAGATACTTGGCTTGTATATACTTATCCATTTAGCCAGCCCATGTCTCTTTAGTGGGCAGTTCAAGCCATTCACATTTATTGGAAGAATTGATAAGTAGGGAAGACTTCTGTTCATCATGTTGAGTTTAACTTTATTGCTTTGTTTTCTCTCTTGAGCCATCATGGCATCTGGCCTTTGACCTTTAGCTTTTGGATGAGTTTATACTGGTACGTGTCTGCTGTGCTGATCCATGTGTAATGTTGTTCTGAGTACTTTCTGGAGGACAGGTCTTTTCTTGATGAATTCCTTCAGTCTTTGCTTGTCTGAGAAGGTCTTTATTTCTCCTTCATATAAGACACTTAGTTTTTCAGGATACAAAATTATAGGCTGGGCATCACTATTTTTGAGAAGACTGAGAATGGGGCCCCAGTCCCTTCTGGCTTATAAGATGTCAGTGAGAAGTCTGGAGTTATTCTTTTGTAGGTTTTCCTTTGTAGGTTACATACTGCTTTTGCCTTATGGTTTATAGGAGGTTCTCCTTCATGTTTATTTTGGCCAGTCTGATGACTATGTGACACAATGTCTTCCTGTTTGCAATAAATCTCCCAGGAGTCCTTTGAGCTTTTTTTATTTTTATTTTTATTTTTTTGAGACAGAGTCTCACTTTGTTGCCCAGGCTAGAGTGAGTGCCATGGCGTCAGCCTAGCTCACAGCAACCTCAAACTCCTGGCTCAAGCAATCCTCCTGCCTCAGCCTCCCAAGTAGCTGGGACTACAGGCATGCGCCACCATGCCCGGCTAATTTTTTGTATATATATTAGTTGGCCAATTAATTTCTTTCTATTTATAGTAGAGACAGGGTCTCACTCTTGCTCAGGCTGGTTTTGAACTCCTGACCTCGAGCAATCCGCCCGCCTCGGCCTCCCAGAGAGCTAGGATTACAGGCGTGAGCCACCGCGCCTGGCCCCTTTGAGCTTTTTGTACCCAGATACCTAAATTTCTAGCAAGGCCAGGGAAATTTTCCTCCATTATATCTTCAAGTAGTTTATCCAACCCTTGTGTATTTTCTTCTTGACCCTTGGGGATGCCTATAATTCTCATGTTAGGCCTCTCCAAATAATCGCACATTTCTTGTAGGCTTTGCTTTTTTCTCTTATTTCTCAGCTCTATCTCTGTCACTGACTTATTTAATTGAAAGATGCTATCTTCAATCCCTGAGATTCTTTCTTATGCTTGATCTAGCCTATTCTTGAGGCTTTCCACTGTGTTTTATAATTCCTTGAATAAATTTTTCATTTCCAGAAGTTCTGTTTGATTTTTCTTTAATATTTCAATTTCTTTAGTGAATTTTTAATTCATTTCCTGGATTATTTTTGTGGTTCCTTTGTGTTGGGTATCTATTTTATCTTGCCTTTCATTGAGTTTTCTTACAAGCCATGTTTGAAATTCTTCATCTGTCATTTCAGTATTCTGATTTTGGTTGGTATCCATTGCTAGAGAGCTGGTGTTCCTTTTTGGGTGAGTCCTTTTGGTTTGATTCTTCATACTTCTGGAGTTCTTTCACTAATACTTTCCCATCTGGAGCAGCTGTTACTTCTTACTTTTGGATTTTTCTTTTCTTTAGATGATGACATGCCCAGTTTAATCTCTGAGCCAGTAGGTGGGTTTGGGGGTGAGAATTGAACACACCCTGTATGACAAGTCAGTAAATGCAGTAAAAGGGCGTGCAAATTGACCTCCCTGTCAGTAGGTGGTGCTTGCCAGGAAGAATAAGCTGCAATGTTGTTTTTTGGTCCTGTGACCAGCTCTTGTTCCTCTGGAGAGGCATTCTAATGCCCCAGGTGGTGGGTGGGGCCATGGAACTTCCAGAAGTATACTTATTCTCCACCTCAGCTGGGCCTATTGGGGAGTAAGGCTTGGCAGGTCTGGGTTGGATGAGCCTGCCCTCAAGCTCTACAAATGCTTTTAGCAGGGGTCAAAGTGGGGGGGGGGTGGAGGGCATAAATATTTTCACACCTAATGGGTGTGGTGCACACTGTCTGAGGAATGGACATGCTTATTGCTCTGACTCAGGCAAAGCAAAGGCAATATATGTAACCTAAACATTTATACCCTCATAATATTCTGAAATAAATAAATATATATGTATATATAAATATATAAAATAACATAGAACAAAATTATTTCCTGAGTTTGTCTTAAGACTTTGGAAAGAAATATAGAGATTTTAAACAGTGTCAGGTATAAGATATCCATTGAAGTAAGGCAAAATACTACCAAAGGCAAAGCATAAATACAAGCAAAGAGCTGCGGCCATGCCTTGGAAAGACAGAAACACTTTGAAGAGAGACCATCTAATTATGTCTAGGAGGATCATGGAAGGCTTTACAAATAATACAACATAAGAGAGAGAAGTCAAAGAATGGTAATAAAATGCTCTAGAATGACTCAATAGCATTTAAAAGGACACCAAAACTTATACAGTAAGGAATTATTGATGAACATCTAAGAGATCAATGTTAAGGAAGCAGTGGAGAAGGATGTGATTTAAAAGGAAGTTGGACCGAGACTGCAAGAGGCCTTAAGTGCTCTTCCAATGAACACTATGTGTTAAATAAGCAGTCAAGGAAAACAACGAAACAGGTGAAGAAGTTGTTTAAGTAGGCGGTGGCATTAATACATTAGTGCTTTCATATATTCATTTCATAGTATTCTAAGCATAAGAAGAAGGAGGTGATATCAGAGCGGGGAAGAGTAAAATTAGAGTAAAATTTTACCTTTATTCCAGGTAAAATCCTGGAATAAAGTAGTGACAAGGGGTAAAAATAATCAAGGCTTTACTGGTAAATTCTATCAAACATTTAAGAAATAAATAATAACAATTGTATGCACACTTTTAGAAAATAGAAGTAAAAAAAGGAACACATCCCACCCCATTTTATGAGTTTATGGGTTAAAGTCACAGCAGGAAACAGATGGCACATGTAAAGGGAATGAATGAAGATAGCATAAAATAAAGAGAATATTCCAAAGATATAGGCAGAGCTAAAAAAAATAAGAAGAAGAAAACAAGGATAGTAAAATATGCCAGTGCTGGCAACATCAAAAGCCATTCTTTCAAAAGTAAAATAAGCCAGACACAGAAATAAAAATACTGCATGATCTACCTTATATGTGGAATCTTTAAAAAACATCTAATACATAGAAACAGAGAATAGAACTGTGGTTACCAGTGGGAGAAGGGAGGAGGGAAAGGGAATGGGAAGATGTACGTGAAAGGGTACAATGTTGCAGTTATGTAGGACGAAAAAGTCTGGAGTCTAATGAATACCCTGAGGACCGTAGTTAATAATACTGTATTGTATACTGATAATTTGCTAAGAGAGTAGATTTTAGGTACTCTTACCACCAAAAAAAAAAAAAAAAGGAAAAAAGAAAGGTAAGTCTATGACATGATAGATATGTTAATTTGCCTGTTAGTAATCACTTTACTATATATATCAAAATATTATGTTGTATATTTCAAATATATACAATAAAAAAGTTTTAAGCCGTGATCATCCCAAAACCTGAGGAGCAGTAAGAGGAAACAGCTGTCAATACTGACAGATGGAATAGACAGAATCAGTAGCCTTTATAGTAGAGAAACACAGGCACTGCCCAACAGTGGGCCAGCAGGAAGAGAGTCAGAGAAATAAATCCCTCAACATGTCTTTCCTGCTTCCCTCCCATCTCTCACCAGCACCTCCCATTGGCCAAATCCAACCATAAACCATAGGCCATAGACTATCCTCTCTGAGTACAGAGCAGGGTGGAAAATAGACCTGGAGGTACAAACAAGAGATATCTAGCAGAGGAGGCATCTGCATTTTTTTAATGTTTATATATAGAAGAGAAAACCCATGAGAAAGGAAGTGGCAAAAGGTAAAACATAGAGGACCCGTCTGCTGGAAATGGTCCCTGAGGAGGCTGACGGGAGGCCTGTGTGTTGGGGGAGAGGTGCAGGCATTCAGGAGTTCACACAGGAGGGACACCTGTTCCCACCTTCACCAAAGCAGAGAAGACCACCCAATGGGACTGAGGGACTGAGTAATTCTGTTCCCTGAGTTGAGTTTAATACCCCTCTAAAATCATTAGGGGGCTTTGGGGCAGTGGTGAAAAAAAAAACACTACTTTTGGGGGCACACAGGAAAAAAATCAAAGAAAGCCCCATGGAGCCCCTATGGCATATTGAGGCTCCAATGTGTACAACAGCCAAAGCCCCAGGGAAGAGGAAGAGGTGAACTAACAAAGGCATAAAAGAGAGAGAACAGAAGCACCTAGAGAAGACAGTTCCATTCAGAGAATTGCTCTCCTGGACCTCCTAGCAGGGAGTCATCAAGAGGCCAGAGGTGAGGTGGAGAAGCAGTTTTCTTTCTATGTTCTGAGCTTTCTGTCCAGGTTGCCCCTGCCTGTCTTTCTCCTTCCTCCTTGGCTTTCTCAGTTTGCTTCCGTAGTTTCACCCTTCCAACTCTGGCTCTCTTTTCCCTCAAGATCCTCACCTGTGCAGAGGCAAGGCCTGCAATCTGCAGAACAAGTCAGAAAAGTCAGACTGAGCTCTGTTCTGGACACGTTGGAGAGAGCAGAAATCCCCACCACAAGGAAGTGCAAACAAACCCCAGGCTCGTGGAGTCTGATACAGAGGAGGAGCTCCATACATACTGAAGAACTTGTGAAAGCAGAAGATCCTTCCCTTTCAATCATAGATCCAAGACTCCCAAAAAGAGGTTGCTACTGAATTCACCAAGGCCTGGTTTAAGAAGAAAAATCAAGAACTAGAAGTAAACATCAAATCACTTAAAGACTATTTATCAGAAAAGCATTAGCAAACATCATACCAAAGCTAAAGATCTAGAGGCATTCTATTTAAAGTTCAAGGCTAGTGAAGGATATTGACTATCACCGTTTCTTTTATATTGTTTTGAAAATTTAAAATATTTTAATAATATACAAAATAAAAATAAACCTCAAGAGACAGATAGAATTTACTAAAAAGCTACTAGCTTTGGAAAGCAGTACTGTAAAATAGCTGTATTGGTGAAATAATTTTTAAAAAACAATAGTAATCAGAAGGCTTCTTAGGTAACAATAGCCAATTAGGAAATATAAAGAGGGGAAAAAAGCAACAATAATGAAAAAAATTCCAAAAGTACCTGTGACAGGAAGGAAAAACACTAGATTTCTTAATGGAAAGAATCAATGGGTTAAAGACATCATTTCTTCCATAATTAATTTATGTATTTTAATATAATACCCCCCAAAATGCAAGCAGTCTTTTTTTAATTTAAAAGTTATGTAAAGTTATTTTGTTTGGTTGGTTGGCTTCTTCTTTTTTTGTAGAGAGAGGGTCTCACTTTGTCACCCAAGCTAAAGTGCAATGGTGCAATCAAGGCTCACTGCAGCCTTGAACTCCTGGGTTCAACCTATCCTTCTGCCCCAGCCTCCTGAGTAGCTGGAACTACAAAAATGTGCCATGACACCTGGCTATTCTTCTTATTTTTTGTGGGGATCGTGTCTCACTTATGTTGCCCAGGCTGATATCAAACTCCTGGATTCAAGCAATTCCCCTGCCTTAGCCTACAGTTGGTATTAAGAATCTCCCTTACCAGACAGCAAATAAACTAATTCAGTTGGTACTGGCACTAAAAACAGAAAAGATTGTCCAGGTAGGCAGTGATCTTTGAATATATGTTCAAATTTAATTCATGACAAAAAAGGACATTGCAAATTAATGGGAAAGGGAGGGCTTATTTACTGAATGAAACTAGAACCATGGTTTAGTTATTTGTCAGGGAAAATTAATTTAGAGGACTTCTCACTTCATGTTGAACTCCAAATTGCTTAAAAATTATTTTTAAAATAATTTTTGTAAAGAAAATGCAAGTGCTTACTAAAATACTGAATTTACATTTTTAAATGCTTAAAAGTCATGAAATAATTTAAAAAGTGAAATTGTTATGACTACATAAAAGTGTAAGTATATGCATGTGCGTAATTTTATAAAAAAAAAAAAGGATAAATAGAATTTAATGAAAAATGAATTGGAGAAAACATTTCCAGAAAATTCAACAGATAAAAGTAATATCCTTAAGATATAGTGAAACTCATACAAATCAATAAAATTGTGCTGCCAGACTCCACATTAAACACTTTAAAAATGTTCTTGTTCATTCATTTATTTACTTACTAGGCAAACAGACAAGTATTAGACAGACAATAGACAATAATAAATAACAAATAAACAAATAAATCCTAAACAGACATATAGAGAATAAGATCAAATAGAAAATTAATAAGTAAGCATATAAATGGAAAATAAATCTTTGAAAATATTAAAGATTACTAAAAATAAAGTAAAAACTAAATCAAAATTGAAATATCAATTTTTTCTTATTTCATTAATAAATATATTTAAATGAAAATTCCCAATTTGGGCAAGGCTATGATGAAATAGACACTCATGAACAAATTCTGGATGCATAAAGTACTACAAGATGCCTAGGAAGGAATATTTTACTATATATCAAGAGCACTCAAAATGCTTATACTCTCATGCAGGGCCAGAATAACCTCTTTACAGGATAATATGGCAGTATCAGTCAAAATCATTTCTTTCCATTTGACCAAGCAATTCAGTATTCTATGGATGCACTTACATATACACATAAAGATATAAGAACAATTATATTTATTGCATCATTTTTCATAGCAGTAAAATACTGGAAACAGATCAAATGTTCATCAAAAGTTCTCATTAGGATTACGTCAAGCTAAAAAGCTTCCACGCAGCAAAGAAAACAATTAACAAAGTGAGACAATCTACAGAATGGGAGAAAATATTTGCAAACTATCCATTCAACAAGGGATTAATAACCAGATTATATAAGGAACTCAACTCCATAGCAAAAAAATAAATATTCTGATTTAAAAGTGGGCAAATAACCTGAACAGACATCTCTCAAAAGAAGATATATAAATGTCCAACAAGTGTATGAAAAAATGCTAACCATGACTAATCATCAGTAAAATGCAAATCAAAACCACAAGAGATATCATTTCACCCCAGTTAAAATAGCTTTTATCAAAAAGTCAAAAAATAACAAATGCTGGCAAGAATGAGAAGAAAGGGGAACACTTGTACACTGTTGGTGGGAATGTAAAGTAGTGCAGCCATTATAGAAAAATGTTATGGAGGTTCCTCCAGAAACTAAAAATAGAACTACCATATGATCCAGCAATCCCACTGCTGGATATATTTTCAAAAGAAAAAAGAAAAAGATCAGTATATTGAGATATCTGCACTCCCATGTTTATTGCAACACTATTCACAACAGCCGACATGCAATCAACCTATTTGTTCATCAGTGGATGAATGAAAAAAGAAAATGTGGTATATATACACAACAGAATATTATTCAGCCCTAAGAATAAAATCCTGTCATTTGCAGCAAGACGGATGGAACTGTAGGTCATTATGGTAAGTGAAATGAGCCAGGCACAGAAAGACAAATATTGCATGTTCTCACTCATATGTGAGAGCTAAAATTTGGATCTTGTGGCGGTGGAGAGTAGAATGGTTGTTACCAAAGCCTGGGAAGGGAAGGGAGAAAGGGAAGTTGAGGAGAAGTTGGTTAATGAGTACAAAAATACAGTTAGATATAAGGAATAAGTTCTAGTATTTGATAGCACAATAGAGAAATTATTAACAATAATTTATTGTGTATCTCAAAATAGCTAGAAGAAAAGAATTATAATGTTCCCAACATGAAGAAAATAATATTTGAGATGATGGATATCCTACTCACTCTGATTGATCACTACATATTGTAGACAAGTATCAAACTATATCACATATCCCAAAAATATGCACAGCTATTATATCTCAATAAAAAAATACAAAAAAATTCTCATTAAATTATGGGACATCCAGGTGGTAGAAAATGATGCAACTGAAAAACAATGAGGCTTATCTACATGGTGATATGGAACAGTGTCCAAAATACTAAGTTAAAAAAGAAAAGGAAAAGCAAGAAAGGAAAATAGGATATGATTAATATGCTAACATTTGTTTTTATCTTTTATTTAAAATACACTTATTATTAACATATATATATTCTTATCCATGCACAAACTATCTCTGGAAAGATTACCAAGAAACTGGTATTACTGGCTGCCTCTGATTAAAAGGAAAGACATTTGGGAGGCCCAAGCATGGGAGTTTTACTTTTCATTGTTTATATTTTTCATTTTATTTCAATTTTTATTATGTGTACATATTATATTTTAAAATAAAATTGTGGCCGGGTACAGTGGCTCACAACTGTAATCTTAGCACTTTGGGAGGCTGAGGCAGGAGGATTGCTTGAAGCCAGGAGTTCAAAACCAGCCTGAGCAAGAGTGAGATGCCATCTTTACAAAAAATAGAAAAATTAGCCGGGCATGGTGGCACAGGCCTATAGTCCCAGCTTCTCGGAAGACTGAGGCAAGAGAATCGCTTGAGCCCAGGAGTTGGAGGTTGCTGTGAGCTATAATGACACCATTGCACTCTAGCCCAGGCTACAGAGCAAGACCTTATCTCAAAATAAAAATAAGATAAAATAAATTTTTAACATGGTTATTCCCTTTGTATATATCACTTTGGTATCACTTTTGAGATGCTACTCAAAGGAAATAATCTTAAGAGAAGAATATTGGTTAGTAAATTATGTAATAGCCAAATACAAACATTTAAAGCAGCCATTAAAATTAAGATTACATACTTTTAATGATATTGGAAAGCCTTGGCTCATTTATTAATCCATGGAATAATTTTTGATATTATGCCTTAGAATATCTTACTAAAAGACAAAAGCAAGATATAAAATTATCTCCCTATAATCATGTAAACTGTTTAAAAATAAAACAAAAATAGGGTAAAACAAATATTAATAGTTATTATCAGTTAGTGGTAAGATTATTATTGTTATATTTGGACATGCTTATTAAACATACAAGTGGTGATGACAAATACTTATTCTGACTTTTCTGTTAAGAAGTTACTTTGGCTTTCTTTGTTGCTCCTCTATGGTATAATTCTAGAAGCCATAAAAAGTTAAGGGTCATTTTTTAATAAAAGGAACTAGGTCACTGTTGAAGAGGTTTCATCAGGACCTTAAGCTGACTTTTAAACAAAACCTTCTTCTGTTTCAGTTTTGTAGACAGACACTGAGATTGGGGCACTTGTGCCATGGATCCCTCCACCAGTGTTACCAATAGTTCCAGCATCCAGATATACCAGTTCATCCTGATGGGGCTCCCAGGCATTCATGAGTGGCAGCACTGGCTCTCCCTGCCACTGGCTCTGCTCTACCTCTTAGCTCTGGGTGCCAACATCCTCATCATGGTCACCATTCGATGTGAGCCCATGTTACATGAGCCCATGTTCCATTTTCTGGCTGTATTGGCAGTGGTAGACATTGGCCTGGCCACCACCATCATGCCCAAGATCCTGGCCATCTTCTGGTTTGACGACAAGGCCATCAGCCTCCCTGAGTGTTTTGCTCAGATCTATGCCATCCATTTCTTCTTCTTCATGGAGTCTGGCATCTTCCTCTGCATGGCAGTGGACAGATACATAGCCATCTGTCACCCCCTCCAATATCCTTCCATAGTCACTGAAGCTTTTGTGCTCAAAGCCACAGGACTCATGATGCTCAGGAATGGCCTGTTGACCATCCCAGTGCCTATACTGGCTGCACAGAGAAACTACTGCTCCAGGAAGGAAATTGACCACTGCCTCTGCTCTAACTTGGGGGTTGTCAGTCTAGCTTGTGATGATATCACCGTGAACAAATTTTACCAACTGATGCTAGCATGGATCCTGGTTGGGAGTGATATGGTTCTGGTATTTTCTTCCTATGCTCTAATCCTTCACTCTGTGCTGAAGCTGAAATCAGCAGAAGCAACGTCCAAGGCTCTGAGCACCTGTAGCTCCCACCTCATCCTCATCCTCTTCTTCTACACAGGTATCATTGTGCTGTCTGTCACACACCTTGCAAAGAAAAATATTCCCCTCATCCCCATACTCCTTAATGTACTGCACAATGTCATCCCCCCTGCGCTCAACCCCATGGTCTATGCACTCAGGATGCACGACCTCAGACTAGGCTTTCAGAGACTGCTTGCGCTGGGTGAAAAAGTGTCCAAGTGACTCCAGCTTTAGGAAACCATTAAGTGTTAGGAAATCACAGAGGTTTTAGCTCTCAATAGACTTGGGTTGTAATCTGTAATCTCACTAGGGAAAAAAAATGGCCAATAAAATCATGAAAACTGTCAGCCACATGAATCAAAATATGCATATTAAAATTATAAGCACATTTCCTACTAGAAAATAAGAATAGAGAAGTGAAATGTCCCTAACTCTTGATGCCACCCCAAGACTGACACTCTTATACACAGCTGGGGGAACTGTAAATTGGCCCAAACATACCAAGAAGCAATTTGGCAATGTAAATGTAAATGTTTAGATTCTCTTACTCAGTAATCATGTTTTAAAAAAACTAAAAGATATAGTGTAAATGTAACCAAAAAAATTATTCATAAAATAATTTATTACATTACTAATAGAAAACATCCTTTAAAAATAATGTTTGCATGAATATACTTTAATTTTTATAAATTTATGTGCTTTCCATGTGTAATTTTCAGAATAAGAAAAACAAAAGTATAAACGTTTATTAAAAAGGGGCAGAAATTTTCACACTCTTTTGTTCCAGTTTAATTAACACTAAAAGTATGATGTCATGAAAGACAAGAGAGGCAAGTGGCCCTAGAAAAAGGAACATGGAAAAATACTGGAGAGGATTCTAGTAAGATTACATATATAATATATTTCCATTATTTTTGGCAATTTAAGGTCATTAGCAAGAGCAATTTGTGTGATGTGGAGACAAGAGTAAACTGCAATGAGATACAAATTATTCAGGAGGTAGAGAAAAGTAAGCAATATAAAGCGGTCACTCCTAAAGTTTATGAAGTAGGAAGCAGACAGGGGCAATCTCTGGAAGGGATATGGAGTAAAGATACATTTGACACAAGGGGAGACGTCAGAACCTTCCTGTAAAAAGGGGCACTATTGATCAGGTGGGCTGAATTAATGCCTGAGGAGCCTGGGGTGAAAAGTCGTCTATTTTCTGCGCTGCCCACGGAATTTGGGCTGAATTGGTACACTTCAGAAAGTACTTGGCTACCCCACCAGAGTACTTGGGTCCTACTCCCACTGCAATCTTAAAAACTTAGGTCCGCAAGGATGCTTGGATTACAGTAGGGAGGACCTGGAGAGCAGCACACCAGGACCAGGCATCTCAGAGATCTAATTAATACTAAAATGACAGACTCCAGGGATGTCAAGCAAGGACAGGGATTGTTCTGAAACACAAAGGCTGAACATAGGCAGCTTGGCCGAGGAAAAAGAAGCAGCTACAGAAGACATTGCCATCCTGAGAGCCTCCTCAAAGTCTCTCCTGAAGTAGTAAGTAACCAGCCAATGACTGAATGTTGAGAGGTGAGGGAATAGACATGGTCCATGTCCCGTAATTCTGTCAGATCTCTGAATTTAATTACATGTCTGATCTTTGGTCTCCCATGGTCACTTTTCTTGTTTGATTCTTCACCTTCAGTACTTCCCTTCTCTCAGGCTCTTCTCTTGTATAGGGACTAAGGTTGTGATCAGGAAACAGTAGAGAAATGAGGCTGAGCTCTAAGATAGCAGTGAATAAATGATAAACAAGGATCTACTAATAAATTCTTTATCCAAGGATTTCCAAACAAAAAGCAACTCCAACAAAAACTACTTTATCATGTCTATAAAGACATGTAACTTTAAACAAAAGACAATATTTAAGATAAATTATAGTAAATTACCCATTAAATTCAACCAAAAGTAAGATGTTTGCCATCATAAATTCTTTCACATTGATCACAAAATGTCAACCATTTCATTAGACATGCAAAATTAAGAATATCATATCAGAAAATGAAATATCATTTTTTTGCAATCAACTTTGTGCTCTACTAAAATTTTTAAAAGTATTAATGAGAAAATTTAAGAATTGACAACAGTTCAGCAAAATGAGATGATATAAGAAAATAACAAATCAAATAAAATTGCATATATAAAATGAAAAAACAAGATGTTTACCAGCAATGAAATTGGTTATATAATACAAAAAAAAATATCACAAACACTTAAAAGTAGTTAC